CACCAGTCACCCGATCCGGATTCAGACCCGTGACCAGCCTAACAAAATGCTGATGCATAATTTCTCCAGGTTATCTTGGTACACAAACCCCATTCCCTGCAGCGGCCAGGAGCAAAAACCAGGAGGCAAATCCAGAATGGTGAATCCAGGGGCTCCATGTCCACCAGGCCATTAACCTCTCCGTAAATAGCATCCCACGGACTTGCTCTGCTTTCCTTCGGCCGTGACGTACCATTAAAGACATTTAAACTGTCACTTGGCCGTGGCACATTGTCCCCTGAGGTCCCCGGAGGAGGCGATGCCTGTAGGAAATAGATCCTCGTGGAGCCCAAGGGCGACCAAGGTTGCCCTAGGAAGATTTGTTGGGTCAGTCTCGGGTGACTGGGCTCTTTCTGCCTGGGCTCCAGACGCGTTTTCCCATCTCCGGGCTCCCCGCATGGCTGAGCCGCTGCGATCCGGTCCCCTGGCGAAAGCCCATCGGGGCGGTGCAGCAGAGCAAACGCTGCCCACACGCGGGGCTGCGCGGGGAGGGGGGGCCCTGCAGCCCCCCGCCCCGCAGCATCCATGCAGCCCCTTCCCGGGTGGAGAGGAAAAACAATCCTCTCCTGCAGGATAACAAGGAAAACTCAGATTTGGGGTTTCTGCTCCTACCTAGAGGCAGCAGGACGGACATTTGCTAAAAGGCTCCTAAAAACCATCTGTGTTTGTCCCGCCAGCCCCCAGTCTCGCTTGAAGTTTGCTGCACAGAGATATCATATGTGTGACAACCGACAGCCTCGAAACCACGGCTGAAGTTTGCTGCAGGCAGACACTTCCCTGTGATCTTTAAAATACACAGCATGACGCGAGGTATTTTAAATAGATCAAAATACATTTATTACATATTTATATTATTTTCTTTAGTCTTTTTATATCAAATACATTTTACAAATATATATATACATTGTCACATATATCTCAAATATATGTGCAATGAGACAGAAACACCGGAGGTGGAAAAGGTACAGATACTTTCATTGCATCCATCAGCTTCCCTGTCACTGCACGTCACCACTGCCCCAGCGAATGGACTCGGCCTTTTACTCCCTGGGAAACCAGTGCTCCCAGTTGCCGACCTGCCCATGTGAACTGGTACCGGGTCTCGGTCCCCGAACCACCTGGGGCCAAGCCTGGGGGAGCACTGGGGTGCGTTTTGGGGGGGGATGGAGGAAGGGAAGGGGCAGTGGGACAATGTGCACAGCTGGCGGGCGCCGGGGCTCAGCGAGGTGACGGGTGGCATCGGGTCGGGCACCGCCCCATGTCCCTTCCCTGCTCCTAACGCGGCCGGACCCTGCCCTGCGCCAACCCCCCGTGGCAGCATCCCTGAATTGGGGGGGGGGGAGAGCAGGATCCAGCCAGAGCTGCCACACACTCATTTCAGCGTGCAAGAAATGGGGGGGGACACACACACAGAGGGGACTCTTTTGGTTGTCAGCACGAGAAGAAAGGAAAGAGCAAGAAGGTTTAAAAATAAACGTATTTGTTCTGCCTTATTAAAGATAGAAAAGGTGGCTCTGAATTCATCTCCTACAAAAGGTTTGAAGGTCAAGCAGGCACCGAATCGCGAAAGGTTAAGCGCTAAGTGATTGTCCCAGCCCTAAAAGACTAAGTGCACGAAATTCAGTTACGAGAAGCTAAGGCTCGTCCCGACGGCTCCCGGCCCCGGGGACCCAGCGGTCACGCCTTTCGGGGCAGAGGATGCTCTTTCCAGCCGGTGGTTTTGGGGCGCAGGGATGCGACCGCTTTCTGCTCGCACCGGTGCATCTTTCCGGGGTGAAGCCGAGTGGAAGCAGCAGCGGGGCCGGCCCCCCGGCCCCCGCCCGGGCCAA